CATTTGTATCTAGTTTCGATAACAATTTACATTATCTCCATGCTTACCAAGCTAAAAGCCGTGCCATCAGCAGACAACCCTTTTAATTTTTACGAAACCTCTCTAACCCAGTTCAACGAAACCTCTCTTAAAGAAAAACTTCAAACAGCACTCAAAGGTTTCAAAACGTACAAATGTTCCATATCGCGTAAAAGGTATGAAAAATATCGATTTCTCCTCGACATATATGGATAGTTGCAACATTTTCATCGTATGTTTGCTCTCATCCGAACTAATAACGTTGACAAAAATACATTTGGAAAATATGTCCCTAAAAACGATGTTTCTGATGTTCGATTGACGAGAATCGAATGCAAATGTACATTTTTCTGCGCGTTTTTCTGTCGCATATCTTCTTGGGGACTATCAGGAAGATTTGTACGAGAGGAACGATCGTGACGGTCATGTCGGGTCAAGAAAAGTTGAAACGGTGCAAACAGACAACGAGAGCACTGGCCGTGCTCTGTTTGGCGACCGCCGGATGCACGAGGATAGCAGACCACATCACTCGTCGACCCAACCGGATGCGTCGACATTGAAATACAAGCGAGCACTCGGTTTCGCTGGGCTCGCTTCGCTCTCTCATGCTCGCTTCTGTTGATATGACCCGTTCGTTCTGGAAACTCGCTTCTTTCTGATTGGTCAAATCTTCCTGAATGTTTGTCAAATCGATATCAACCGAAAATTGAACTATTAACGGGCTTATGAATTACGTGACCTATCTAATCTAATTAATATCGTAATTTGAGGTTCAAGTGAAGAACAAAAGATTGTTTTGTTTCATATAATGTTTATCGGAGAGCAATGGAAATATTCTGCCACTTCATTTTTTTGGAAAGTGATAGATAAAATTCGTATTTCTTTAGTAGAATTTATTGCGAACTTTCAGACATCTTTTATAAGTAGTAATTTAATTTGAAAGCATGTAAACTACTGTAAAATCGGAAAATAAAGATATACATTTTTTCCCGATTGCTTACAATTTATTAATATTAAATTGAATATACAAATATAAATTGGACAGAAACGATGTTTGTTTAACGGAAACTAAATGCAATACTTGTATCTATGTCAAATAACTTTACAGTTATTTGGCCACTCTCGTCACAACGAATCTAACACACTCGCTCTCTCTCTCTCTCTCTCTCTCTAGCAACTCGATCAATTCTCTCGACTCTACTCTTCGGTGTCTCGATTAATTCTAACGACTCTACTCTTCGACGACTCGATTAGCTCTGACTCTCGCAATACACACACTTTTCGACTCGCACACTCTGACCTTTCGATCGTCTCACCTTGAAACACGAAACCGTCCTTCTGATCTAACGTTGTCTATGGTTTTTCTCATACCTATGTAAGAACTAGGTGACTTTAGTCACATAGGCGCTCTTAAATGTAAACGAACCACAGAAGGACGACGTACACGGTTTTTTCTATTTTCAACCGATCTCTAGTTCAAACTACTTTACGATATTACACTATTATCGTTTCTCTATTAACAAATGTTCCAAATATATTAAGAATTAATCTCAACCAAAGAATCCTATGTGGTATAGGTATCGAATAAACGAACCAGTGAAAGTAGCCAGACATCTGTAATTCCAAGCAAACTTTAACCTAAGAGACTCGGAAAGACAAAGAGCTGGGAGTTCTCGAAGAAATTCTCGAGGTTAGGATAAAATCAATGTGTTTCGCGAAGGTGGAAAGTGTGACTAGAATATTGCGATTGCGAACTTCTCAGATTCAGCACTGAGCAGCAATATAGTCTTGCATGATCAGCCACGTTCTCTGAACCGCATTCCCTTTATACCTTGATGCCCAGAGTTTCTTGAAACCCTCGTGTTCCCTGGCAATTACTGATATCCCTTGGATCCCACGATTCACAGATTCTAAGACGTTTATATTAGACTCGATGTGTCCAGACCCGGCATCGTATCTTACGAATTCACAGATGAATTTTGCACGGAAAGTTCATTGTCATTTGTGGCAAATCGCACATACAGACTCTTCTTTTCTTCGTCGATGAATATAAGGTTATTTGCGTGGAAACTTACGATCTTTCATAGCATCGACAAATTTTCTACGATCATCTGCTTATTAATTAATTGTAGCAAACGAGAATTTGATCCTGGTCATCCAATGTCACAATCTGTGTATCTATCTTTGTGTAGCTTGACCTTCGTAGTCATCCGTTAACGTTATCCGAAATTTGTAAGTAGAAGATGCCGATAACTCGCTACTTATCAACACGATACTGATTATTCACAAATATTATTACCTTGTTACTCGATTTCGATATTATCGCTTTTCAATTCGGCGTTCGAAGGTTCTCTAAGAAATCAGTTCTCTATCGGGGGTCTTCAGAACTCCGATGATATCCGCTTATCACGAAAGTATTAAAAATATATTATTATAGGGTCAATCAAATCTCACCATTTTTCAAGGTTTAACTGGAAAAAGAAAATTCTTTAAATAGAATCTCGGCTTAATGTGACACTAACGATGGAAAAATTAAGCAGACGAAGAAAATTCGAGCATACCTAGCTTACGTTATCCCCTTAACCTACGGGCATAGCCCGTAGTACGATGATCGGGCCAAATATAATATATAATATAATATATAATAGCTTGTTCACGTTTTCGGTCCAAAATTCTCTAACGTAAATCGTAGGTTAAGGGGTTAAACGAACCCTCGGTTTAACTTTTACGAGACGCTGTATCTTACCCATAAGAAAGCTTCGACGAGCTTCATACGATCCATCCGTCCAGTATCGAAGTTCGTGGATGGAAGGATAGGTCTCGTTCGTCCCTTCGGAGCATTTTATCGCGTCGCTTGCAATAAGATTTTTGTTTGCAAGAAACCAGCCAACCAGTCGTGGGCGTGGATCTTGAAAGGACGAAGGAGAATGAGAGCTCGTTGTTCGAAAGAGAAACGAAACAGAGGAAGAGGATCAAGGAGCGGAACAGGAAGCTCGCGCACGGGAGAGAACTGCCGGGGAATCCAATCTCAATAGAGTTAAGTGTTTGAGAGTAAAACCTGGCCAAGACACGACCTCGATTACTCGCCGAGGATTTGTTACGGCCACCTCTTCCGCCGCATTTCTTACCCTCGATCCCTTCGAATCGTCCGAGACTCCTTCTTCGTTTTCGATTCCGCTGAAAGCTGCGTCGCGCAGTCCCTAACGAGGAACGAGCGACCGTATTTTGTCTCTCTCCTTCGACCCTGTTCCATCGACCTCTTTTTTTCGTCCATCAAACCAAGGGGATTTCCAATTGGCCATCGCGTTCGCTTCGCTACCGGTCTTCCTCGTCAGATTACACCTGTTTCAACAGATTTCTTTGCGAGTTATAGCAGCAAACTCGCGAATCTTCCGAACAGGAGTTTGAAATATATTGTAGAGGACATCGTCCTGATCGTCTTTTAAAAGGTTTTAGACGTTGCGTATTGTTTGTTAGAAAATTGTTAACGTTATTATAGATGCCCTCCTATAAATGAAAAGTGAATTTTCTTGCAGTGAAAGATTCACATAAGTGGTACACGAATGTTTTCTAGTTCGAGTATTTGCAACGTTACTTTTTAGAAGCTATTTTTAATAATTACGTTATTCGGAGTAAAGATGTTTACAGGAGATTACTCGTCATACGAGTGAAAGTAAAAACAAAGATTCCCAAAGTACAGGGTCAAGAAGCGAATTGATTTTCTGATTTAATGGATAACAAGTTTAAAAAAACAACAAACAGATTGACAGATGTAATAAGAATGTAATTGACAAGGATAGCTAAATGTGAATGCGTCTCGGAATTTTATCGATTACCGCCAAAATCGGTAATCTCCAAAATCGATCGGTCAAATAACATATTCAAATGTTCTCGATAATGGCCCATTATGCGCTTATCTTGTTCAAACACAAACAGATAAGCATGTAGGACACTCACTTGATGTTATCGGCCCATGCATGCTCAAACATCGAAACGATTAATTTTCTATGCGATAGTTAAGTGCAATAGTAACACGAAAATTTCCTTTATGCAATGTTAATTGTATGCATTCTTTATTGATTGAATAAAAATTTTTAATTAAACTTCGATTAAGTCATCCTTCTGTCATTCTACAATCTAATTCGTTTTCTAAAGGCATCTACTTTTTACTAAAAGTAACCAAACACTTATTTGATGCTTTTTAGAAAACTCATCTTTTACGATTCAAGTTCGATTTCAGAAAGGAGTTTTGCTACTAATATCGAGATCGCCAATCAGAAACGGGTGGATCCTTAACTGCGAACACATTTTCCTTAGTTGTTCCCTGTTTCGTCGTGAAAATCCTCGAGACCGTTATGCCAGTAACGATGAGCCCACCATGGAAGGCTGTTACCACCACGTGCTGCCATAATATCGAGCAAAAGTTTGCCTGGCCAGTAGTAGAAAATAATTTGATACGACTCACCGTTGCAACTTGAACGCAGGTGGAATGTCGAACCTTTTGTTGTCCTTTTGGAGAACAATTACGATGCCGTTTTTGTGGCATACTGCAATTAAATACCTCAGAGTCTTCCGTTATTGCTGGTTTCTGAAACCGTGTAATGATGAATTTGTGCCTTTTTATTTTTCTAGCAAGCTATGTTATAAAGTTTTGTTTGTAATTAGCTCTCTTACGTAATATAATTCTGAAAACGAACGACATCAAAATGGTTACTGGACAAAGATGATATTTTATATCACTATCGTAATAGATAAATTCTCTAAATAGAGAAATTATTAATCAGATTACCAAAAAAAATTATGCCATGACTTGATGACCATGATCGAATCGTCATATTGAAAGATAAATATCACTAAAATGTTTCGTCTTATCGACATCTCACATATCTGTGTTTAATATCCCAAAAGAATAAAAAATATTTATGAGTATTAATTGATATAATCTAATCGTAATGGTGATAGATCAATAGTTAAATGGGTATATAAATGACCGGCAGTCTACAGTGATGATATACTTAGTTGACTTTGTTCACTTAAGCAACATGGTGAGTAATGCACAAAACGATTTAATATAACATCGAAAAAGATATTCTAAATATTATACAAGTACATGTAACGTAAATATTACAGACATTAATTTGATATTACTATTCAGCTCTGAAAGATTTATTTTCATCTGTTTTTCTATATTAAAAGTTACTTGCCTTTTAATTTACCATCTAATCGAATTTATTTTAAATTTTTATCTCGAATAATTTTAATTTCATCCATAATTATTCGAGAATATTTCACATACATTTACAGATGAAATTCGCCGCTATCTTGGCTGTTCTGGCCTTCGCCAGTCCCCTGAATGCCTATATAGTCCCACGCACCGGAAACGGTGCTCTCGCCGCTGAGCTTCAGGACTTCGTCAACATTATTCCTCTTGACGATATAGTCGCGCTCCTTCACGAATACATGAACCAAGACTCAGAAATGCAAGCATGGTTAAACTATTTGCAAACAAACGAATTCAGGAACCTCATATCTGGTCTTGAAAGCATCCCTGAATTCCGGGACCTCCTCAACTACCAGCAAAATGCCGGTCTCGATGCGTACTACCTGGCGAACAAAGTCAATGATTTCCTGCATCTGGCAAAACTCGTCCCACCAAACCGCGCTAGGAGAGCCGTCACCGGTGGAATCCGCGGTTACCTCGATCAAGTTGAAGCAATGCTGCCTATGGAACAGCTCCGAGCTTTGTTCAGGCAGAAGCTGGCCAACTCCAAGGTGTTCGCCGACTTCATACATTTCTTGGGATCCCCCACCTCTCAAAGACTCGTCGACGCTATGTGCGCCAATCCTGTCTTCAATAACTTCTTAGTGAAGCTTCAGAGCTACGGTGTCAACCTCCACAAGGGCAGAGATTTCATGGAAAACCAATTGGGTCTCCATGTCTCCTGTTCCGTTTAAATTTTTATAGTTCTTTTTTATATTCCGATATCTTTTTAATTTTAATCAATAAATAAGCGTATATATAAATACGTCGCCAAATGTTGTTCCCTCAAAGTGCCCTTTGCTTCAATCTTTCGTTTTCAACCTTCAGGAACTTTAAGGTGTTCGTTAAAGAAGATCAGTATCTTCTGGCACGATAATTTTGTAAATAATGATATTAGTAACTTAGTAAGTTGCAAGTTTAGATTTCTCTTTTTGTATCTTTATAGTTTTTCGTCGAATAGAATAATCAAAAGATCGATAAGATTTTGTTAATACTAGTCATTTGTAAACTATAACTTGACAAATTTCGCTAATATCATTAGTGATATTAGTTCAATTGTGTAAAACGGCACAGGTATTAATCCTCAATTAGAATCGTAGGATGAAAATCATTAGTCTTTGTCGTATAAAGTATAGAATATAAAATAAAATGAAATATTTTTTTATCAAACAATCTGATGTCCAAATTGTTAATTATAGATTTGCAATATGACTTAAAAGTTACAAAGGAGAACCTATTAGAAACGAAATTTTAGACGAAGAACTAAGACTCTATTTGTGACTAAATTCTTAACTTCATCTTCATTAATATCATGCCTTGTATCTTAAGTCGTAATGTTACAATAGAACACTATGTGCTGGGAAACTTCATAATTCTTTTCACGACATTTATAACATTCCTGGTAAATCGGGATCCACTTATTTGTACAATATCCCGAAATAAACAGTTTTAATTAGAAATATGTTTCAGAATATTACGAGACAAATTAATTAATATAATAACGAGAAGGGGGATATAGCTTTAAATATTTTGTATTTCAAATGGAAAATATAATTATGAGTGCGTAAGCTATCTACAATTTAAAAGCACAAAAATGTACGAGTATAAGTGATTCCACAGAAGTGGAAATTTTTTACGGTTCTCACTTTTTAAAGCCCTTAAAAACGTTAAACGTTAAAACCCTTAAACATTAAATTATATTTGCATGAGAGAGAAAGATAATAATTGTGATTTTAAATACAAATTATGAAGTACTATCAATTAAGTTTATTTATATCAAAAATTACCTTTTCTTCATGCAATTCTCAGTCCTCTGTCATGTCAGAACTACAAAATTTACTCTACATCTTATGTTCAGTGAATAAATTTGAGATTATTTACTTTATTATTATTTTCCTTTTTATATTTACTTTACAATGGTCGTATTTATCATTCACATTTATTTTTACTTTAATCGACTTCATTTTATTGACAAAAGTCATCGGCATGCAACTTTTTTCATCATTTTTACATCTCGGTTCTCTGTCTGCAAAATTATTTCTAAAAAAATCCATGTCTATGGTACTAACAATGAAATCACGCGAAGTAAATCAAAAGTAATCAAAACAAGTTAGTGCACCTATTACGTTTTGTAACAAGTGGTCATTTTTGATTACCTAAAATTGTAGATTCGTTGACAATCACCTGTTGCTGCCAGCCACCTTTTCAATCCCCTGGTACGTATTATATTCCAATTTTGTTATCTTTTCTAAGTATTATTTAACATCAAAATTGAATAGTAATTCGCTTGAAAATTTATAACATTTTACCTTAAAATTCCCAATCACCTGATCTCAGTCTCCTGTCAAACAATATGATAGGTGACAGAAAGAAGCATCCGCGTGTTTGAGAAAAATGTGTGTTGAGTGCATTTATATTAAACTTAGAAAATGCCTTGCATTGTTTAGGTAATGTCATAATTCAGTCCTGAACGTCCTGAACGTTAGAGCATAAAGTGCACAATTTATTTACTTTAGTTTACAAGAAAGAACGCGGATTGATCACCAGTTTGTTTATCTAAGGAATAAATATTCGTTAGTTTTAAAAATGCTCTCGGGTCCTGTACGGAGCTCCAGTGTGGGCAGAAGATCTGATGAAAAGTCGACGTAGTTTACTCTTGCTGAGGAGGCTTCATAGGACAACCGCCATCAGGATCGTAAGGGGATACCGGACGATATCACATGCGTCGACGACTGTCCTGGTGGCGTCTCCTCCGTTCGAGATCCAGGCCTTGGCGCTCCGACAAGTGTACGAAGACCAGAGGAACCGAAGCTCAGGCGGGGACTGTCCCCCCATCGAGCAGGCGGCCCGAGACGTTCGGGGGGAAGTTAGACGTGAGGTGTGGGAGCGGTGGCGCTTCCATCTACTCCTGCCGAACTGGGAGACTTGGAGAGACCGCGGAGGGCTTCCACTATCCTTCCGGATGACGCTGGTGCTCGCAGGACATGGAGTATTCGCTGACGAGCACCTGTCACCACTGCGGCGAAGGCAAAGACACGGACCAGTACACGTTAGAATTTTATCCGGCGTGGGAGGCCTCTACAGATTAGACCCCTCGTCAGTTGTGAAAGCGATGCTGAGGGAGCGACAAGAGCTCCTCGCAGTACACTCATATTGCGAAAGCGTAATACTCGTAAAGGAACGAACAGAGCGGGAGAGGGTGAGAACATCCCACCCTTGCAGAGTTCCGCGCCGAAGGACGGCTCTACGTCGTCCTAGGTGGTCATAGAGGCCGACACGCCAAGGAGGATCTGGTCCTCCTCAGACTTGCACGACAGCCCAGGGAATAGCGTAGAGAGGGGTGGCCCCTCCCAATGCCCGAACTAACCAAGGAACGACTCCCTCAGACAGGAGAAGACGCAGGAGTGCTCCAGCAGTAATCTGAAAATTTTCTGGGTCCCGGCCATTCCAACTAAGCGTCCGGCGATCCACCGTGGGGTTTTAGTCGGTATAGTCCGACACTATCCCGCCGCTTCCTAGCGGGGATCCATGAGGATTTCCCCACGTATAAAAAAACAAGAAAGAAAGAAAAGAAAAGTTTTAAAAATGCAATAATTTTGTTTTTGAATTTAACTGACAATTTGTCAAGATTGATGATTCATTTATGATTAATAAGTATTGATTGTTTTTTAGATTTAATTATTTTTGTTTCCACTTTCAAATTTAGCTGACAATTATCAGGACTGGTAATTAGTCCGTTTATAATCTAGGCGATTACAAATTATTATTGACGTGTGATATTGGATGTCCAAATTTTGTAAATAATCCTTCTGAAAAGTAATTATCTTTTAATTAATTCTTTGTGATAGAAAGTGTGAGAAAAGATCATCTCTTTTTATTAAATAAAATATTTAAATACAGTTAATTACATGAGACTATTAACCATATCTCAGTCGCCAGTAGATAGTTTCTAAAAAAGTAAAATGACATGTATGATAGTTATTCATTTGTCCGACCGTTTTTGTAGCAATGTTCTCTGTCACACCTTAAACTTCTTGCAATTCATAAATTAAATGAAAAAGTATGTGGATAAAATCACTGCTAAATAAATCCCGCCTTTGCAGAATCGCTCTTATATAGGTTAAATGAGTGTAGATAAATTAATTCTATGATGATAAATACTAATTGAATTGGGGTCACTATTATATCCGTGTCATATTGAATCTCATTGCTGCTAGCGTTAGTAACAGGGCGTAAAACAACAACAAATAGATATTTTCAGAAATATGAAGATAAGATACTCTCGATACATGATAATTAAAAGCAGTACATCTAATTTTGATATCAGTTGATAATCAGCACTGCTTTCTATTTTGAAATAAAAACATGTTATCATAGAGATAATACTCTTTATGTCACCACTTTTTCTTATTTTTAGTCATCAATAGGACAGTTTCTCTAGTTTCTAGCAGATTGTCCAGATACATCTTTACTTGCCTACAGTTTACTTGTGGATAAAAGATTCACATCAATAGAATTTTTTTTATGTCAAAAAGAATTGCTGGTAACAAGATGGAATATCCTGCAAAACTTTTTAACGATCGTTTCGACTGGTATGTATAATGAGTTGTCTACTATCGTCATAGAAATTATAGGCTCGAATAAATATAACAGAGATAAAATTTGTCAATGCCAGCGATAACATTTTGATCCTAATTACGTACTCAAAGATAAAGCTAAACGATGTTTCCCGCACAATAGTCACCGTCGAAAAGAAAAAAGGAATCTTTAATCCTTTAAATGCGTGCAACCCCAGATACTTAAAGTAAATAATTTATGTTACGAAAGGTTAAGCTACATTTTGTAATATAATGAACAAATGCATCAAGGGTCTGAAAACGAATGCATTTGTAGCTCGTTGGATGCTGCGTTTAACAACGGAATGCGTTGTGTAGAAATTTGACCGCAAAGTCAAGAAAAATGAAATTTACAAATACGATGCGTCTACTTTGTTGCCATAAATGTGCAGATGCAAAGTAAAAGCTATGAAAGAAACAAAATTGTATTATCCAGACTGCAATGTTATTTTATGGGTTCATGCTATGATGTTTTGAAGTGCATTATATAAAAGCTAATTATGTAAAAAGAAATTACATATGAAAAAATTAAAATGTGGATGCAAGGTGTATGAAGATTACAGAAAATCGAAGTGATTTTAAAATACAATAATCAATTCCATGTTAAATACATTGTACCTTCATTAGATTGTGAGATTTCCTTTCCAATTATCTTAGCTACCAAGGGGCATAAAAGTCATGAAATTATCAAAAATAATTTCGTCATGTTCTTTCCGCGCAAACTTTATATATTTCCATGTTGCTTATGCTAGATGCAAATAATACAGATAGTAAAAAAGTGGAAAATTTTTCCCTATATTTCTATATTTCATCAATAATAATTATAGTATAGATAGTAAATAAGATTAATGAGTAGTCACTTATTGCGAAAAATGTAATCCCAAATGAAAATAAAAATCGCGCGATGTTGATACTGTAAATACTACTGATCTGTAAATGTTACACTGATAATCAATTACAATAAGACAATAATCTTTGCAAGTGCTGAGACACAGGTGCACGTATAATGAAATCTTATCATTCTTTCAGGTATCTCGATATCTCCATTTATTTATTTGAATATGTTCCAGTATATATAAAGCAGTCTAGCCGATAGAAAATTCATGAAGTACTACAGTTTTCTCACGGAACTACGGTGAGTTCACAGATCGTTGTAAAATAAAATTTTATATTATAATTATTTATGCTTAAAAACTAATAAATACCTGTTGTTTAAATGAGTTTATCAACAAGTTTGTTTTATATTTATTGGCTTCTGAGCAATTTTAAACAATTTCTGAGCAAGCAAATTTTAACGCGATCAATTAATCCAACCTCATTAAATGGGTTAAAGTTTCGTCTCGATTTATACCATCGAAAATGCTTCTATTTTCATTGCGTTTCATTTACTATTGAATTATCTATGTACCGTCCGTTTTGCAGATGAAGGTCCCAGTGGTACTGTTCACGGCGATATTTGCGTTCGCAACTGTGAACTCTCATTATCTCCCAGATTTCGGCAAGGGACCGCTCCATGAAGATATACAATACTTCCTGGACTTGATCCCGATGGACAAGGTTGCTTCTGTCGTCCTAGAATATGCCGCTGAAGATTCCGAATTCCAAGAGCTACTTCAATACTTCAGCTCATCAGAGTTCAAGACAATGATCTCGGAGATCGAGACTCTTTACGAATTCCATAAGTTCGCAAACTATCTAGAAAAAAACGGTGTCTACATTTACGCCGAGCTGAATAAATTAAACAAAATAATTGGCATTCCACCGTTCCAGCAGTTTAGCAAAAAACAAATCACTGGTGGAGTGAAAGGTTTGTTCGACGACGTGAAGCAACTCATCTCTTATGACGCAATCATTCGTGGTTACGTGTACAAGATGAGAACATCGGACGCTTGGCGTGATTTCGTAGCTCAACTGAAGTCAGAGGATAACCAAAAATTTGTGGACGCTCTCTACGAAAACAGAAATTACCTCAGATTCCGTGCAATGCTGGTGAAGAAAGGAATTGACATAATTTTAATCGAAGACATCATCTACACCGTTCTTGGTATTGAATTCCCAATCTTCGAAATGCCTAAGTCGGAAACCGTTGCCTCTGACGAACTATCTAGGGACATTCATGACTTCCTGAACCTGGTCGACGAGAACAAAATAATGAACATCGTTATGTCCTACCTGGAAGACGACGAAGTGCAGAGGGCAATCGAATACATGTACAGCGAAGCATTCCACGATTTGGTCCGCAAGGTCGAAGCTATGCCAGAATATCAGAATTTGGTGAGGTACATGGAAGACTCTGGCTTGGACATGAAAAAGGTGATCAGCAAAATCCACAAATTGTTCGGTATGGAAGACTACGTACCACCCATGGAATTCTCATCGATGAATACATTATCAAACCTTGGTGGATTGAAAGCTCTGTTCAACGCTGTAGAGGCTGCCCTCCCTTTGGACAAATTCACGGCCATGTACAATGAAAAGATGCACAGCTCCCCTGCTTTCCAGAACTTCATGCAAAGACTGCACTCCAATGAATTTCAGAGAATCGTCAACACGGTTTACCAATCACCAATCTTCCTGGAAATGAGACAGAAGGTCATCAACGACGGAGTGGACCTTGTACCAATCAGGGATTTCATCGAAAAAGTGCTTGGCATTCATCTTCCCAGAGTCGACTCCCGCACCTTGTTGCGAGCGGAAATCTTCGCCTCTGACGAACTATCCAGAGACATTCACGACTTCATGAACCTGGTCGACGAGAACAAAATAATGAACATCGTTATGTCCTACCTGGAAGACGACGAAGTGCAGAGAGCAATCGAATACATGTACAGCGAAGCATTCCACGATTTGGTCCGCAAGGTCGAAGCTATGCCAGAATATCAGAATTTGGTGAGGTACATGGAAGACTCTGGCTTGGACATGAAAAAGGTGATCAGCAAAATCCACAAATTGTTCGGTATGGAAGACTACGTACCACCCATGGAATTCTCATCGATGAATACATTATCAAACCTTGGTGGATTGAAAGCTCTGTTCAACGCTGTAGAGGCTGCCCTCCCTTTGGACAAATTCACGGCCATGTACAATGAAAAGATGCATACCTCCCCTGCTTTCCAGAACTTCATGCAAAGACTGCACTCCAATGAATTTCAGAGAATCGTCAACACGGTTTACCAATCACCAATCTTCCTGGAAATGAGACAGAAGGTCATCAACGACGGAGTGGACCTTGTACCAATCAGGGATTTCATCGAAAAAGTGCTTGGCATTCATCTTCCCAGAGTCGACTCCCGCACCTTGTTGCGAGCGGAAATCTTCGCCTCTGACGAACTATCCAGAGACATTCACGACTTCATGAACCTGGTCGACGAGAACAAAATAATGAACATCGTTATGTCCTACCTGGAAGACGACGAAGTGCAGAGAGCAATCGAATACATGTACAGCGAAGCATTCCACGATTTGGTCCGCAAGGTCGAAGCTATGCCAGAATATCAGAATTTGGTGAGGTACATGGAAGACTCTGGCTTGGACATGAAAAAGGTGATCAGCAAAATCCACAAATTGTTCGGTATGGAAGACTACGTACCACCCATGGAATTCTCATCGATGAATACATTATCAAACCTTGGTGGATTGAAAGCTCTGTTCAACGCTGTAGAAGCTGCCCTCCCTTTGGACAAATTCACGGCCATGTACAATGAAAAGATGCACAGCTCCCCTGCTTTCCAGAACTTCATGCAAAGACTGCACTCCGACGAATTCCAAAGAATCGTCAACACAGTTTACCAATCACCAATCTTCCTGGAAATGAGACAGAAGGTCATCAACGACGGAGTGGACCTTGTCCCTATCAGGGATTTCATCGAAAAGGTGCTTGGCATTCATCTTCCCAGAGTCAACTTCTTGATATTTCAACTTCTACAAGGAACCTATCACTGAATAATGCTTAACCTTCTAAAACTCGATTTTTTTGTGACTATTTTAGAATTTAACAAATTGTAATCGTTTAATTTCCATTAAATCTCGAAAACTTACTTTGTGGTATGTTCATTTTCCTGTTGTGAAGCAAAAATTTATCGACTTATAGAGCAAATATACATATATACATATTTTAATTTGAACATATTTCAAAGATTTCGCTTAATCTTGGCAAAAACAAAAATAGGTTAGGATTTATGTCTGGTAGAGTACTACTCTTACTGGTTGCATTATTTCATTTTCTCTGCTTGTTTATTTCTTATTCTTCATATTGCTAGGTCACTTCAATTTTACTAAATTGTGTCTGTTTCTCTTTGTGCAAATCATCTTTATTCGTGTCTTCCTATCGCGTTCAGCCACATCTATCGTCTTTTCTTTTTGGAACTTTCTTTTCTCCCTTTTTCTCCCAATCGTTGTTCGCCTTCCATTCCTCAAGCTTCGTGGATTCAAGTGTCATTTCCCTTCTTTCTCACTTGCCCCTCTTATGACTTCCTGCTTCATCCTAACGCGCCAATGGCAAGTTTCGAGGCTTATTAAATTGTAACAATTTTAATTAGAGAAGTAGCGTGCACCAGCTTGTTCCTCCCCTTGTTCGTCCTTCTGTTAGTTCTCACCAGAGAAGGACAGAGTGAAAGGGTGGCTAAACCCCGCGGCAACCGAGAAGACGCGTCGGTTAAGACACCCCATACTTTCCTTTTAAAAGTTAGCGCCACGTGCTCGAACACGGTCCTCTTTTATTTATCGAATAGCTACCGTTGCTACTTGAGGCCATTCGCTGCACCCGGTGCCCTTTTGCTTTTCTGTTTGATCAGCAAAATACGGCGTTAACGAATAACTATTTTCGACGAGGGATGAAACTGATCATTATTCAACAAATCGATCTTAAACCTACCAAGACAGGCAGTTAATGATGGAACGCGATTTTTTGGGATTAATTCTAAGTCTCAGGAAAAATAGTAATATGAGCGAGAGAATTTTTAGAGTCAAATTAATGTTCTAATGTAGAAATTTCTATGGTGCTTGATATTAAAACATTTTAGTGAACTTTGGGAAAGAAGCACTTATATGTATAATTGTATCTATCTATTGAATCGCTCTATATAAATAAAGAGGTGAGGATTTTAATGATACAAATATAGTGCGTTATTCTACTTATTTTAAGGAAATATACTATCTTAGTAAGATAAGTTATTTAACGAACAAGAAAGTGGTGTTTCATTTTTATTGGAATGTGTATACAAAAATTTGTGGTATGCATAAGCCATTTTTGATGTGATTAATGCTTGGGGATCCATCTTTGAAAAACTAATTCTTACTTAATGTTACGATAAGTATACTACTCAAGCTCTTTAGAATAGAAATTAAATTCTTTTTTCACGTTTTAGCATTTTTTCCAACTAAGTAATATTGCACAATGTAGTAGCTTCGCCATTTCCAATTAAACCAATATTGATTCGGGACTTAAAAATATAATCGGTAATTTCTATATCGGATGTTATCTTGTCTGAATTATCGAAGAACATTATTACCGATTTACTAGATTGTCTACTTACCTGTTTCGATAATTTACACTCTGCTATACCTACACATTAGTTAAGTGTTTAATAAGTTATCATTAAGTATATGATACATACGGTTTCTTACGTTTGTCGGTAATTATTCATTAATTTAGAAAAGAAATAGATGCAAAGTAGGTACGATTAATGAAAATGTATATTTCGAAATAATATATATATATAATATAATATAATATATAATATATAATATATATAATATATATATATATATGTTGTTTTAAATAATTAACAATTCACATCTAATAATTAATTTAACGGTGATGAAGGACCTGAAACTAAATATATTCTGTCATTATTAACTTCGGTTCGAATTTACTTTCAACGTTAATTTGGTATACAATCTATGTTTTCGCACAGTTGGCTGGTACTATACAATAGCGATGTTTACATTGATTGTCACGTCAGATTTGCAAAGTTTTACAACCGTAATGAGTTCGTGATTCATAAGCGTCGACATAGAGGACGCCACATAAATGTTTATAACAGCAGTCTGATAGTTAGGTGATCATTTCTTATCATTTTCAAAAAAATTACTGCACTAATTGCGTCGATTTAAAGTGGGTATATCATAGATCTCATTCAGCAATTAACATTTTATTTGCCTTAAACTTCATATAAAGCTGTAATCGATATAATATAATTAATTATGTTATCCATTAATTTTGCAAATTTTTAAAGCATTAACTTCGTTCAAGCTGGAGCATATAAACGATACGATGCCTTCAGTGTTTCAATTATTTTGATTATATTTTTAAAAAATAATTATCCATTAAAAATGATGAGTTTTACTTTTCGTAATGAAAATTTTTTGTGATATAATATTAACACGTAATAATAACAAAAATGTGTTTTACATTACATTCCGTATATTCTATCATGATACAATATAAAATACAGATAATAAATAATAGATGCTAGATAATAGATAGATGATAGATAATGTAAAATAAAAATATTTCATATTTTACAATACATATTACATCCAAACGTTCTCTTGATTCTGACTGCAAAAAAGTAAAAAATATTTAATCGAACAATTTTTCCATTAATAAGTAGCATTAAAAAGCTTATAATTCCTAAAAATATCGACATACATGCATCGATAAAATAGCAGTAACTTTTTATTACTCTTGTTACTTGTTATTTTTTACACATCCTAAAATTGAGCTATAGTTTCATTTGGATTAATTATCTATTTGACGAATCAGATTTGGGAACGTCATTATTCGTTTCTCATATATTAGTGACCTTTTTAATAATGACTAATTCAAATAATCTTATCAGAATGAGTAAGTCAAATTCACCGTGATATATAAGACGGAATGAAAAATTGATGGGCGTTATAATTCTCCCGGCATTAATGAGAAAAAAACCAGGTCCTACAGTAAGTAGCATATAGTTTTAAGTATAATTGCAGTCATTCACAATTTAAGAATTAATGGATTAACTGTAATTCATAGTTGTAATTAGAACCATTCACATATTATTCTGAAATTAATTAAAGATTTTTATTCCTATATCATTTGAGTACATTGTACAATAACATATACATACCAATTTCTGTTAATTAACATAAATTCTATTAACGACACTGTATAAATACATTGATAATTCCATAATGATCGAACGCTAAATCATTTCAATAAATTTCATCGTGATTTTCCATTTTTTCATAATTCATCCTAATTTTCAGATGAAATTCGCTCTCACAGTATTGACTATCCTGGCCGCAGCCAGCCATCTCAACGCTTACATGTTGCCAAGCGTTGGCACAGGTGCCCTGGCCAAGGAATTGCAAGATTTCGTGAACTTGGTGCCCATCGACAAAGTACTGGAGCTCACGCAAGTATATCAAGCCAGAGACAAGGAATTCCAATGGATTATGACTTTCTTGCAATCCGATGATATGAAGGGCTTCGTCGAAAACGTGGAAGATTTACCCGAATACGAAACCCTCATGAAGTATTTGCTAAACCAAGGTCTTGACGGTTACACTTTAATGAAGGACGTAAAAGAAGCCATGGCAGCGAATATCGAAAAAACTAATGTGAATTCTAATCTCAGAATTACCGGAGGAATCGCAGGTTATATAAAAGACGTTTCAGAAGTCATATCTGTGTACAATATATCGAATCTGTTCGAATACAAGGTCGTAACTTCTGAGGTTTTCAAAAATTTCTTGCACGAAATTCTATCTCTTCAATACGAGAACCTTTACACAAGTACCTTCACGAATCCTCATTTCCAAAGAATACTAGTACAGCTTAACTACCTCTATGTCGACAGCAATACGTTCCATACGAATTTCTTCACGTTTCTCATAGCTAAAGCGTTGATATATAAATATCTTTAAGCATTACAGATAAGAATGCACGTATAGACCATTTGTATGTACATATAATTGACTTAAAATTGTGACTTGTAACATGTAAAATTATTTCATATATATGTATGCTAATTTTAGAATAATATTTAATAAATATATTAAGTTAATTGACATTAGTAAAATAATGCTGTTCTTTCTTTTTTACACTTTTTAGTGTTTTTACACCTTTTTATAACATAGAAAATATTTGAAATTAATGTTAAAATATTAAATACATGGTAAACACAATGGTGAAATAATAAATACAATATTAAAGAAAATATTAAATGTTAAATATTTGTAGAAAAAGAAGTAATATTATATAATCTACGGATTAAAGTTTTATTTCCATGAGAAATTTTGAATAGAAAACTCCTGCTTTTTAAAGTGAAATGGAGCCGAATGAATAATTCCCATGTCAGGAAAATCTGTGTGGGAATTGTTTAAAAGTTAAAATTATTTAATTTCGCGTTGTTAATTTTGCTACTGTTTCTTAACGAACATTACATCATAATCAAAAACTATAAAATGATATCTGTGGCTATCAATCATATCGATATAATCAAAATTACGAAACGGTAGTAGCCAATGTAATTCTGTTTCTATCAGATAATAGAGTTGGAATAACAACTACAAGTCTTTCTTAATTTATAATTTTTCCCTAAATTTGTTAACTTCCATTCAGTCATAACAAGATGTTACCATACAATAAAATATAAACTAAATTTCTCACCATTTATAGATAAATGAATGGAAAAATATGAAAAAAAAAAACAATATACAAATATAGACACTAAAAATTTCCTATATGTCAAATCAATTGATCTGAAAAATTCCTAATATATCTATAGTATAATAAGGATGAATAAGCCTATATACAAGCCTATACAGTCAAACATCATTTATTGATTAGTGGCGAAGAATAATAGCGAATTTTATTATTATCACCACTTGCTATTCAATATGATAAGTCCAGCTTAAAATAATGCCTTAATGAGAAAGATCGGTTCATACATAGAAATCATTCGATGTTTGGAGTTTTCAATTGTGTACACCAATCAAATTTATATAAGAAGTTAATAGTTCGCTTAAAACATATTTTGG